AGGGGTCTGGTCAGGCACCTCCTGTAGCACCCTCCAAGGTCCCTGCTCCGGTGCCTTACGAGCCCCCAGCTCCCCTGGTCACTGACACCCCGGCCGCAGCCCCCTGGATCCCTGACACCCAGGCCTCAGCCCCCTAGATCCCTGACCCCTTGGCCACGGTTCCTTTGATCCCTGAGCCTTCAGCCCCAGTGTACCCTGTCCCTGACCCTACTGCCTCAGTTCCCCCGGTTCTTGTCTGCCACATTACAGTCCCCGTACCCTCAACTCCTGCGGACCCAGTCCCTGTGCCTCCAGCTCCCATGGCCCTAGTCCCCGAGGAGGTCCCAGAGTTCCACACCACCGCTCCTCCTTCCACAGTGGAGTTAGAGGAAAAGCTTGAGTGGGACCCCTCGGGGATCTCCGTGACTTCCCCTGTGACTCCCCGTGGGACTCCCCCTCCATCATCACAACACGGCAGATCCTGACTGGGTTCCCACCTCTCGGTCTCCCGGAGAGGAAGGGGACACTGATGTTGGGGTCGATTCCCTGACCCACCTCCGCTCCCCCAGGTTCTGTTCCCACAGACTCTGGTGGGTTCCCCATCTACGAGTCCTCAGGAGCCTGCGCCTAGGCAGACGAGGACTGCACCTCCACCTCTGAAGCGCATGTCGCCGGTGCCAGAGCCAGTGGTGGCAACGCCTCCATCTGCTGTGGCTACGGTTCCCTTCACCCCAGGGACGGATTATGGGTTGTGTGGGCCCCTGGGCAAAACGTTGTCTATTTTAGAGGCCCTATAGGGTCAGGGGCCCATGTAGGCAGAGGATCAAAGAATGTAGGCCCTCTAAAATAGACAAACGAAAATACATTGTTGATAAGCGTTGCAAATTGTTTTGGGCACCCCAAGGGCCCCTGGGCAGCGGCCCCGCTGGCCCGGTCCATAATCCGTCCCTGCTTCACCCCTCTGTCACAGTCCCCTTCGACTCCATCCTTGCCATTTCCACCAGCCCCATCACCCTCCTCCTCATCCCCTTCAGCCCCGGCTCCGGTCTTGCAGTCGCCTGTATCCCCTCCAATTTCCTCCTCGCCTCTCCTAGTTCCCCTTTCGACTCCCTCCTCACCACCCTCAGCATCCCAATCAGCCCCTATTCCGGCCCCGTGGAGGCCTGCTGCTCCAACGTGCCCCACCTCACGCCTGCTGAGGGTTCCCCTTGCCCTTAGCTCCCTCGCCCCCTGCGTTCACTGCCTGTCCTGCTTCACCGTCTTTCCCCTCTAGTTCCTTCATGCCCTCCATGTTTACTCCTCCTCCCTCCATGCCTTTGCTCCCTTCTGGTCCCTTTGTGCCCCCTGTGTTTCACCCTCGTCCCTGAGTGCTCTCTAGTCCCTATGTACCCCCCGCGTTTTCTCCCCGTCCCTCTGTGCCTTCGTCTCTGGTTGGTCTCTTTGTGCCCCCTGTGTCTCTTCCGTGTTCCTTTGTGCCTCCTGTGTGTCCTTCCCATCCTTCTGTGCCTAGGTCCCCTGCTAGTCCCTATGTGCCTTCTGTGGGTGTGCCCCCTGGTGTGGTCCCTCCGTTGTCCCCATTAGTGTCCCCAGGTCCCATGCTTCCTTTTTTGGTGTCCCTGTGCATGTCTGCGTTTCCTGTGGTTTATCGTCTGTTGTCAGAGTTGGTCTCCTTGTGTTTGTTCTGTGTGTCTGTGCTGTTCCCTGTGCCCCATTGATGTTGTTGCTTTTGTCTCCCCAGATGCTGTTGTGTCCCCAGTCCCCATCGCTTCGCTCCCCTTAGGCACTCCCGGAGTGCCCCAATTGTCCGTTCCTATTTAGTCCACATTTCCGTTTGTTTCCCCAGTCTGGTCATTGTATAGTCAGTCTGCGTTTGCTTGCCATTGTGTTTCATTAAACCCCGTATTTTCCCAATCATCTGTCTCTGTGCTCTTACTTCCCCGGTGCGGCATGACACTCTGAATATTGAATTGCCAATTGCAAAATGAATAGCCATTTAAATTTTTGTGCTTATAATCTTCCATAGTTTATAATCTTTAAAATGAGTGAAGACGTTTACATATACACTGCCCAGCCAAAAAAAAAAGTTGCCATTTGAATTTTTCATTGGACCGCATTTAGCTTTGATTATGGCGCACATTTGTCATGGCATTGTTTCCACAGGCTTAAGCAATATCTCACCCTTTATTTTAATCCATATTTGCATTAATTTCTCACCGAGATCCTGTATTGAAAAGTGAGTTGAACCACTCCGTAAAGCCTTCTTCAGCACATCTCAAAGACCTTCAATGAGGTTAAGGTCACAACTCTGTGGTGACCAAGTCATGTGTGAAAATGATTCCTCATGCTTCCTGAACCACTCTTTGACAATTCGAACCCAATGAATCTTGGCATTCTTGTCCTGGAATATGCCCATGCCAACAGGGAAGAAAAAAATCCATTGATGATGAATGGAGGTGTAACCTGGCCATTCAGTAGATTCAGTTACTCAGCTGATTTCACTTTATTGCTGCATAACGTAGCTGAGCTGTAATAATGATCCAGTCATTGGCTCTTAAGTATTTGCTGATATAAATTCAAATGGCGACTTTTTTTTTGGCCGGGCAGTGTACATAATAGTGCAATAACTTTTCAATATACATAAAGCATTTCATATTTTATCCCTTCTTTTACTCATGCATATATCAACTATTACACCTAACTAAAAATTATACAAATATTTTTACAGCATGTTCTGTTCAGATAAACTTATATGCAAACTATGCACGTACAATGGCTGTTATGTCTTGTTTCTACCACTTGTTGGCAGCAGAAGTATGTATACAAGGCATAACTTACAAGTGCGACCACTAGTTTCAGGTTTTATTTGTTCCATGCACATGCGCTCTACATGTGTGTAGTAAAATGCATTTTAAACTTGCTTTCAGGATTGTACCATATTGTAGAAAGAAAAAATATATAAAGAGATCAGATTGAGACAATAAAAGAAGATTGTGAATGTACATCAATGATATCAGTAATTGTATTTACGTAAGGAATGATCTGTCAATGAAAAGTGAGAAACAGTCATGCTCCAAATAAGGACATGTCCGTCAACGACGGACTGCACATACGACGGCAGTCTCATAAGATTATGACGGAGCCATAAAATTCCTATCGCCTAGTGACCTCATAGCTCAACGCATTACTCTCCTGTTTGTGGTGATTCCATTCATTTCAATTCAATTCGGTATTTTATTGTAATTAACGCAATGTGCGGGGACATGTGTAAATGAAAATAGAGTTGTGGCTTCAGAAGAACGTGAAACGTAGGGAGACAGGGGAGGTGGTGGGAGGGAATATACATAGACTAGACATAAGTTGCGTACATTATACATAAACTATACATATATACATAAATGAGACATATATTAGCAACATTATACATAAGGTATCCAGACGTACATAAATTAAAGGTAGATACTGGTTAGATACAGATAACACACTGAGATGCAGCTGGTTAGGATGTTTTCAATAGTGCAGCGATAGAAGGTGGAGAGGATTTTGGGAAAGAGGAGTGTACTCCTCAGTCTCCTCAGGAAATGCAGGCATTGTTGTGCTGTTCTAACGAGGAAGTGTGTGTTATTCGTGCAGGACAGATTCTCGCTGATGTGTAGTCCTAGAGATTTAAATCTGGGTTCACGCTCCCCTTCAACCCCGTTGATATACATGGGGGGATGGTAGCAGCTTTCGGACATCCTGACGTCCACAATCAGCTCCTTCGTCTTCTGCACATTGAGGATGAGACTGTTGGAGGCACACCATGTTGTTAGGGTGTAAACTGATGCTGGTGTAAACAAACCTACTGCACTACCAGTCTAAGAAAAATATAGCACATACACAATTATCTACATTATATTTGATAATGATAATAGGCAGCTATGTTACTGGTTTATATAGGTCTAATTAGTGCACATTTTATCATTATTTTGGAGTGTATTCAATCTTCTTTAGTAGTAGGCTACACCATCTAGGTTTATCTAAGTACGTACACTATTAGAAAAAAAGAGTACAGCCCTGGTACAGTCTTATTCCCCAACTACAAATATGAATGCACCACCAATGATGCATGTTCTTCTGAGTCCATTTCTGTACCATAAAAGGTACATTTACTTACAGCTAGGGTACAGCTGGCAGACCCCTGAGGGTACAGCCCCAGTGACAATTAATTGTACTCTCAAAGGTTCAAATTGATGTTTTTTTCTGTTAGTGTACAAGGACGAAACCGCCTAATGACGCATTATAAGGAACGTATCCCGGTCCTTAAGCGTCGCAAGACTGCAGTATGAAGTGCGTGAACTGGCTGTTTTCTATTCGAGTAGGAGTTAAATGAAACGGGTATGGAAAGTTACTAACCCACCCAGGCCTCGGCACTAACTTGGAAGCTGCGAAATATCGTTAGTTGTGCAGGGTATCCTAAAGTCTGTCCGTCCGGAGCCGTCAGCGCACCTGTTTACTCATATGTAAGCCCATGGCTTCCTCGTATGCATATTATCGAAAAACCACAGAAGCAAAAATTATGTTTCATCTTACTTTAAGGAAACATTGCTTATCAGATCTGATCATCTAAAAAGCACTTCCTTCTGGGGTTTTGGGTTTACTCAGAAACACATCAGTAACGTGAACGCTGAAAAAAATATAGACCTATATAGGCGAATGACTGGTTTTCCTTTTTTTTTTACTTCTCTGGTTTTTGTTACGATATGCGCTTAGAGTGTATTTGGCCTCAGTGACGAGCAATATTTTGTAACAGACAGTGATGCATTACCCGTTCATACTTAGTAGCTATTTCATAGTGAGTTAATAGACGAGTACAAATCACAATCCTGAAGATGTGATACTATAGTGCTACCCACCGAGCAACCACACCGCCCAATTTAAGAAATACAAATACCCCGTCGTATGACACGTGGTAAGACCATTTCACTGATTTTTACGATTTAACCTAAACAATACCAACAGTTACAAACACGCAACAACAAAAGGACATTAGATTGAACTTTTATTAAGGAAAAAGCCAAATATGTGTGACATGCATAAAAAAATAAATTGAACCATAGCTTGCATGTTAATAAAATTGTTTAAAATAACATTTCTGAACATATAAAACTAAAACATAGGCTAAATCGCAAATGTATTTTCACCAAAACACATTAAATCTCCCATGTTAAAAAACTGCAAAATGTAAAAATGTGAAAATATATTTGCAAGAATATAAATTATAAAAAAAGTTAGAAAGTGCATACCTAAGAGGATAAACTGTGTTAAAACGTTTCTGTATTTTACGCGTAATCAACTTTTAAGGCTACATAGCTCGTAGATAACAATATGCATCGAAACACAATTGATGATGTTTATTTTCAGATCTTATATTTTAAATAAGTAAAACGTATACCTTTTTCAGCCGATCAGATTGAACTTCGTTACAGTAAGTAGGCCTACCTCCGATGAGAGTTTCACACCAAGTAAGAACTGAACGATTTCTATGAGACAAATAGCTCATTTTAAAATATACAATGCAAACGAAAAAGGCTCTGACTTGATCTGAGGAAAGATAATTAAGTTGGCAGATGAGTCCGCAGTTACGTTCGTTTTTCTATTTATTTAAATTGGTTGCTTTTATATTTTTTTGTAGTATATTTTATGCCAGTGTGTCCGCCCCACGTACATTCAAAATGCTTCTGACGCCCCTGCTATAGCCTATAGCTACCATTTGTCCATTACAAGTCAAATATGCCGTTTTTTCAGACGCCAGATAGCTACAAAGTAAGGGGTTGTAAATAAAGTGGCTTGGGCAAAAATACACCCCGTCGTTCTGGTTTTACATAATTTATCCCAGGTTACATGTGGACGAAGTAAAGAAGGGAACTGAGAAATTCAGTTGTTCCTCAAAAAAAATCTACACGTTTCCTTTAAGTGCAGGACACTGATGAATTTGCCTCGCGACTGAGAAGGTTTGAAGGAGGTACTTCCAGATTTATGACAGCGTACACGCCCTGCCTTGTCCCTTTGTCGTTCACCTCAATGATCTTTCGTCTATTTCATTTTTAGTAAGACCTTTCTTACTTACTGTAAGGACGTCGGTTAAAGTATGTTGAGCTGAGTTATAGGAAAAAGCAAGTCGCGAAGACACTGCTGGGTACTGATACTTCTGAAAGATTCAAGACTGAAATATTTACCACAGGGTACAACTCACATTTGTCCCCGTGTTGTGTGGATTTCCCCCTGGGTGGAAAATGTTAGGCAGTTAGGCCAGTGGTGTCTCTAAATTCCCAGTTGTGTCTTCCATACTTATGCTGAAATTAGCTTGACCAGGATAATAAGTTGGGAGATGGATGGAGTGATGGACCATTCACAAGCCCTAAAGCAAAACATTGGGATGGCATATAAAACATACTTATGACAACCTTTCAAATTTGTTAAAAGTTATTAAAAACAGAAATGTTTTTCTATTAATCTTTTCTCCTGTACCTAGAATAACAACAAAAAAGAACACAATACTGTACACACTGATGTTCAACAAAAGAGGATCTACATTTTCAGTTCAAACACATCCATATAAGCAACAGAAAAGAGAAGCACATTCCTATGATTATCTGTGGAAAATACCTCAAACTCAGCTATATTTGTAGCTCAGTAAGTAGCAAGCTGTGCTTATAACCTAAAATCCCTGAGAATGCAAATAAACTACAGCTTTTTCCTCTACTGTAAATTGCTTTGGACAAAAGCATCAGATAAATGTATTAAGTAGGTTTATAGCAGACCAGCACTACTTTACCAAAAATGACATAATGCTAGTTTACTGATTTATTCTGTAATGGAAGCACTTGTGATTAATAATGACTGTACTATGGAGCCTTTTCAGAGCAAAATATGTTTAGCACAGTGAACAACAATAGCATTATTATTATATAACAAGAAACCAAATCCAGATATCATCTCTGATCGAAATTTTGAAAGTTTCTTGTTTGACTTTTGGTTTCTGATATATAGGCCTAGTCATTTCATGAGCTAGCATTCTATGGCAGACACCATAGCTCAAAACAGGAAATTTGTTCCATATGATGCATATGAAGCATCAGTTTTCCTCATCACCCTCTCTCATCTTATTTCAAGAAATGACCACTCTCTGCTAGTTTCATTATTACGTGTTACACTTTTGTTCCTTTTTCTGATCAATTTTTGGCATCACACCATCATATATTTTCACCATCCTTAAAAAGTCATGACCAATTAAAAAAATATATCTGCTGATGTAAAAGGCATGTGGCCAATCGAAAAAAAGGAGCTGGTGATGTAAGAGGCATTCCTCAGAAGCCAGAGGTGTAGGATGTGTCTCCAGACTCAGACCACACAGAGCTCTTCCGTGAGGGCATGCGATATTGCCCATGCAGCCTGCAGCCCAGGGCCTTCAACATCTCCAGGAGTTGATTTCGGAACTTGATGCCGACAAATGCATAGAGTATGGGGTTCAGGCAGCAGTGCATGTAGCCCAGTGTGGTCGTGGCTGTCATGGATATGTCCAAGGCTGTGGTGCTCTCACAAGTCCTATTTATTGTATCGTTGGCGTGTAGGGTATTTACAATGAGAGTTATGTTGAAAGGTGTCCAGCAGATGAAAAAGGCCACCACTAGCACCAGGATCACACGTATGGCTCTCTGTTTCTGGATGCCTTGGGAGCCGCGGTGAAGCCGTAGCAGGATACAGGAGTAGCAGAAGACCATGACCACAGAGGGGATGAGGAAGCCCACAATGTGGTAGAGCAGGCGGGAAGCCAAGCGCCAATTAGTAACATTGGCAGAATACTTACTGTAGTTGTGTTCACACTTATACATTTCTGATCTACTGTCATACTGCCCCTCTAGGAAGACCCAGTCAGGGACAGACAGGATGAGGCAGAAGAACCAGACGAACAAACAGCTGGCCTGCACCTGCCAGGGCTTTCGACGGGAATACATCTGCACAGCGTGGACGATGGACAGGTAACGATCCAGACTGATGCAAGCGAGTAGGAAGATGCCACAGAAGAAGTTGATCTGAAGAAAAATATGAGGAGAAACTTTGAATGTGAGGGAGCTTAGAGAGAGCAAAAGGCCAGAATGATACAGAAAAAATATGGGCTCAATGTGGTACTAGATTAAACTTGTGAACATGACATATATGCATTTCTATAGTATTCACTGTATTTTAGATGGTAGAACTTGTTGTCAATCTCCATATGTAGTTTGATATGCCTGTTAAAGTGAATGTTTTGAGGAACATCTGATCTGCTTCAGAATGTATTTATGACAGATTTTGCCCATAACCTAGGTGGAAGGATTAGCCATTACCTTGAAAATGGCTCCCATCAGTTTGCAGAGAGGAGTTCCAAACTTCCAGCCCTGGACAGCTTCAGCAGCCCAGAAAGGCAGCGTGATGAGCAGAAGAAGATCAGCCACAGACAAGTGCAGGATGAAGGTATCGGTGATGCTCCAGGTGCGTCGCATCTGGCAGAGAATGGCCAGAACTAAGCCATTCCCCAGCAGACCCACTAGCAGAGTCAGGGTGTAGAGCACCGGGATGAACACAGCATCAAATCGCATCATCTTCTCTGGGTCGCACACTTGGCCAGAACAGCATGTGTCACTGGTGTTGTCAAAAATTTGGTCGCTGTAGTTATCATAGTCCCACAAGCCGTTTAATTCTTCTCCAGAGAATATTTGTTTCTCATAAGCCATTTTCTCTCCTGCAAGAACAAACAATTAATTTCTGAGAACTATTTGTCAATTTCAGGCAATTAAAGACCATGTACCCATATTACCATTGTAAACCAGAAAATGAATTTAACCTGTAACTGAGCTTTGAGGCCTAATCTGTCTGCATTGTACCAAGCTGACAAATACTTCACATCATCACTGAAACCAGTGCTTCCAGCTGTCCCAGATGAACTTAGTTTCCCACTGTAAATGAAATGTTATCTGAAAAAACCATATGTCTCTGTGTCTTTGCCAACACTAAAAACGTAATTTCTGGGATCTTCCTAGTGGCACAGCAGGCAAAGTAAGCTATGCTACACTGTAAAAAATCAAATTAACTGAGAAATTCTGTAAAATAACGACATAAAAAAACTGTAAAAGGAAAAACAATAGAGCAGCATATATTTGACATTAAGATTTTGTAAAATATTTAACAAAAAACAACTGTTAATTTTTCAGTAAAAATATGTTTTTAAAAAATATTTTTTTGGTATAGTTAACAAATTACTGTAGTTTAAACGCAAACAAACTGTAATATAAAAACCAGTACAATACAGTTAAAATTACACCATAACGGTGTGAAAATAATATTTTTTTAATCAGGTCAACTTTGTTTATACTGAAAGAAACCGTGCTACATTTTACAAATTAATATTCTGTGCTTTACAGATGAGAAACAGTAAAACTTTAAATGATATATCACACTTGCTTTTGCGTTACGAACCAACAAGAAATAGTCCACACAACTCAGGATTTTCTGGTTTGTCAGACAGCTTTTGACGGTACATTCGGGGCAACACCTCTGGTCTGTTGATAAGAAGATATTTTTCCACTGAGGTGATAAAAAATACTGCAGCACCGGCGGGGCTCATGTCCCAGCATGCCCCGCGCGCATTTGTAAATAGCCCTTGTATTGTTGTTGTTATTGCTAATGGTTATATTTCCTTATTGTCGCGTGTGTTTACCTGTGTCTTATGTGTACCCTGTCCGATCCTCGTGTGTAATTAGTGTCCGTAAATCTCCCACCGTGTATGTGTCCTACAGTTGAGCGTCTGACAACCTCGTGTTTCCTGTATACAATAGGTTCGGGGCTCTTTGGCTGCCTGATGTAGTTTTTTTTCCGGACTACTAATAAAGAGCGTGTTACCTCGGCAAGAAAGTGCTGGCAGCTGTGGCTACCAGAGTAATTCTGTAAAAAAATTTGTTAAGAATGAAAATAGCTTTATAAAACAGTCTGTCAATTTCACATACTAGAACTGTAACATTTTACATAGTTATTTATAGATTCAACTTCTTTCTGTTAATTTAGCAGGGCCATGCTGCTGTTGTACCAGTTATTTCGGTATAATTTACATCTAATCGTTGTTTATTCTACACTGAAAGTAAACTTCACATGTAGTTGGTGGTTGTTTTACATTGAAATCCAGTACAATTTATAGATTTTTCTGTAAAGTTGTTTACACGTGTACAGTATTTTTTACAGAATAATTCTGGTAACCACAGCTGCCAGCTTTTTTCCGTAAAAACAACGGAATTTTTTTTACAGTGTAGGCAAGGTGTAGCTCTGTGCTGCTCACTGGAAGGTTGCTGGTTTAAGTCCTGTGACTGATTTAAGTAATGTCACCATTGGGCCTTGAGCAAGGCTCCTAATCACAAATGCTCCTGGGACCGGATGACCTGCTCTCTCGCTTCCCTCCTGCCATTTATGCAGCAGAATGAAACCTGCAGCTTGGAATATGAAAAGAAGCAGGTGGCTGACAGTGCACATACAGAAGGTGGGTGTTGGGTCTCAGCCTACAGAGTAGAGGAATGAGGTAGGCAGGTGGCTGACCATTGCACCGGCCAAGAAACTGCAGGAACAGTAACATTTATCACCTAGAAACAACCAACTTTTACAGACCACTGCTGGGGTGGGGGGGCTGTAACTACCAATCAGCACAGGGCTAGCAAAACATGAGATACTGTTTAGACAGGTACCCAATTAAATGTTCCAGTATTATTTAATATTGAAATCAGAAATCAAGACAAAACCACATGGCAGCACATAAATCAAACACAAATGTACTTAAAAACACATAATTTCGAACATCCTTCTAATTCACTGGCACCCTTCTAAATCACCATGCTGTGTTCATACTTATTTATTATATTTGGGGGAGGGGGGTAGTCAAATATGTCAACTTGGAACCACCAGATAGGAGAGTCTTCCGCTTGTTGCACAGTATATGAAATTGTTAACTTAGCTTCCTTAATGTCCTGTTTTTCAGGATGTGTGGCGTAGGATTATGTGTCTGTCACCTTTCTAAATGGCAGTACAAGGTATCCTGTACTTAGAAACAGTTTTCCGCATTGGGTTAAACTGAAATACGCAATGCCATTAGAGTCGGGAAAACGTATTTTACATAACTAAAATTGCTAACAGTGTATCTTTTGTTTTACAATATGTATGCTGTTCATAGGGCTATTGTAAACCGAGTGTGCCTACACTTCAACTCACGTCGAGTAAAAATACAGCAGAATTGGTACAGCTTGTATCTGTCGTGGGTCGCCTTGTATTATTAGCATTGCTGTTTATTTACGTTTACGCTGTTTCTGTCTTTTTCGCCCTGATTTCCTTGACGTCACATTTCTGAGAAGACCCGTACATGTTTAAATAGGCTATCCATTAAATATAGGCTACTCATTTAAAAAGAGAAACTCGGGTTGCGTTATATTTAGACGCATTAAACGAATAGTTCATGTTACTGATAGACGTTAAATATGTAATATTTAATATTTAATAATATTTTTGGATTTTCCGAACGCAAAAATTACTGATAAAGTAGTATACATTTCATTTTAACGTAGCCTATATATATCCCATTCTATATAATGCCCGTATAGAGTCAGGCATAATCTGCATGCAATTCTTATGTATAAAACGAACGCACGGCAAGTGAATATCTAAGATGATTTTAAATTGTACTTATGTCTACATATACATTTTAATAATAATAGGGAATATTGCTATATTAAAGAAAGTGAAATAATAGGCTACTATACATATTACATGGTGAGGGAAAAAACTTAAATATAGCTCTGGTGTATAAAACAAGCATGGGAAATCCAGAATTGTATAAAGCAAATGTAAACCCGAGGCACAGAGATAAAGGAGACTCACCCTTTCCAAAGACGGAGTGAAGCGTGATACTTTTCAGAAAGCGCGTCTGTGTACGTTTGAGGATTTTTTTCAGTCGAATAAGCAGAAATGGGAGGTGACAGTGAAGAAAGCGAAAACTAGAAGGATATTCAGTCGCTTCATTCACAATTTCTGTTGCTTGATAATTAAATGAGGAAATTTTTCGTTCTTAAGTTACACATTTCCAAATGCATGCCCTAAGTTTAACAGACAGTTCTGTCCAAAGCGCTATACCAGCAGAGTTGCCAACTCGTTAGCTGGCTGGAGTGAGATTTTCAATGTAAGACAAGTTTCGCGTTTGTGCGCGCGCTTATGCACACACAATTACATTTGTCTAGTAGTTTCCTTATAGTCTGTGGGGTTTGCACACTACCCCAACGCTGGTGCTACGGCTAATTTTAGGTTTATAATGCAATAATTTATATGAATGAATGAATCACGTTTATTGGCCAAGTGTGTGTGTGGCACGCACAAGTAATTTGTTTCTGGCATGCAGTTGCTGTTTCTCCGGTACATTACAACACAATAGACCACAGTACAGCTTAAATGTAGAATCTTACTTACGGAGAGAAAATATACATAAAGTGCAAACAACATAGAAGGTGCAGATCGAGTGTATGGGATGGCTTAGATTCAGTTCAACGGTGTGTTGTGAGTGGAGCTGGGTGTAGCAGTCAGGGGAACAGTGTAGGTTGATGCTGCAGGTCAGGTGCTTGTAAGGGTGATGGCTTGAGCGAAGAGACTGTTCCTGTGGTGACTGGTCCTGGTCTGCAGACTTATGAATTGTTTGCCAGAGGGGAGGAGTTCAAAAACACAGTGATCAGGCTGTGATGGGTCAATGATGATTTCCCCTGCCCTTTTCCTGTTTCTTGAAGTGTATAAGTCCTGGAAGGAGGGCAGGGGAGCACCAATGATTCATTCTGCTGTCCTAACTGTCCGTTGCAGTCTGTTCCTGCCTGTTTGGTGGCTGCTCCAAAACAAACTGTGATGGATGAGCACAGGGCAGACTTGGTGACTGCCAAGTAGAACTGGATCAGTAGTTCCTGTGGGAGATCTTACTTCCTCAGATGTCGCAGAATTACATCCTCTGCTGGACCTTTTTGAGTATGGAGGAGATGTTGCTCTCCCATATAAATGCCCCTTCAAAATGTTTCATTACAGTAACAAAATAACAAGCATCTTTGTGGGCTCAGTCCTTATAGGACACAGGGTGCACATTCAGATTAGGCAGTTGCAAACTTGACATTCTTTAGCACCTGAGCAGGGGGATCGTCTGTAACAGGGCTTGAGGTCACTCATTCTGATTGGCATAATGGATGCCAATGTCGCCCCGGCAAATGACATTAATTGGAATAGCCTAGTATTTGCTTAACTTATTAAAAACCCGGTCCGTTTTGGGGGAGCCCAATTTTCCAGCGTGCTCCACGACTTCCCAACTCACATGCACATATATACATATAAGTGCGCAGCCAACAACGGGGTTACTGCAAAAAACATTCTACTATACGTAGTACCGTCAGTAACATTTATATAGGCCCAGTAACAACATAAGAATCAAAGAAGTTTAATAGCCTAATCTACGGTGGCCCTGAAGGTCAAAACACAACAACATTTCAGAAAACACAACAACATTTCAGAAAACACAACGACATTTCAAAAAACACAACATTTCAAAAAACACAACGACATTACAGAAAACACAACAACATTTCAGAAAACACAACAACATTTCAAAAAACACAACATTACAGAAAACACATTTCAAAAAACACAACGACATTTCAAAAAACACATTACAGAAAACACAACAACATTTCAAAAAACACGACATTTCAAAAAGCACAACGACATTACACAAAACACAACATTTCAAAAAACACAACGACATTACAGAAAACACATTTCAGAAAACGGAAAGGGTAGGACCACACTTCTTGTTCGTGATTGGACAGTACCCTTGGAGTGACATGTGTTGTGTATGTGTATGTTCACTACAACTCCCTGGATTCAAAGCGTCATGAGGGCCCTCCCTACAGGTGAAGTCTCTGGGAAATGTGCGATTGTTGTATGATTAAAAACGTTTGGTTCTAACAGCACAACTTGGTCTCCGTCTATCTTGTTCTATTAATAGTATGTAATCTGTGTGTTACTTTACGGACATAACAACATGGTGAATTAAACATAAGAACATAAGAACTACACAAACGAGAGGAGGCCATTCGGCCCATCAAGCTCGCTTGGGGAGAACTTGTTAAAGATGTTCAAATCTTATCTAGCTCTGATTTAAAGGAACCCAAGGATTCAGCTTGCACTATGTTATCAGGAAGACTATTCCATACTCGTGAACGTGAACGCCCTGCTGTGTGTTGTTGCTTTATATTTTAGCAGATTTGGAGTGAGATTATTTTTCCAAGACAAACAAACAAGAAACACGAACTAGTCAAACCACATTAAAAACTTTATAAAATATTTTAGCACATTCATAGCAATATTCTTTTTTCGAACGGCAAACCAACTACAAACAAACCACAGACACTAACAAGTCTGGTAAAAACCTGATATTGCATGCTAGGATACTGTTTACGTATGGAAGCATACTGTATGTGTAGCAAAATTCAATTTGCAATGCAATATGCAAAATGGCAATACAATATGCAAAATGACAATGCAATATTCAAAATGGCAACACAATATTCAAAATGGCAATGTAATTCTGTATTTAAATGTACATTTTCCATCACCTCCATGCGTGCAAAATTTGGTGCAGAATGAAATTGAAAATTAAATTATATTATTTACATTTGCCATTTCCAACAGTAGTCTTAAGTTGTAAAGTGCATACTATTTTAATGCTTTATAAGTAGCAAAATGAAAATGAAAATGTATAACCCAAATTGATTTGATATGTGTAACGTGTCCAAGCAGAAACAAAGCAAAATTATCATTTAAATGTTATTTGTCCTAAATGCATTTAGACTAACAGTTAGGACACTTACCATTGCATTTTCATCATGACGCCGTGGGATATTTGTAGCAAAATTCAATGCGGCTTTGAAAATGCATTCCGAGTTGACCACGCCCACCCTACGGCAATCATTGCGTCAAGGCGGGGATTGGCGGAAGCGTGTTACATTTAGATCGTTTGAAACATGGCGGCTGGAGATCTGGGGCCTGTACTACGAAGCGGGGTTACTGGCTTATCAGGGTAACTTATCGGATTTAAGGTAGTCTGGGCAAAATGTAAGCGAACGAATATGAAGTCCATTTAAACTGTGGTACCTTAAATCCGACAAGTTACCCCGATAAGCCAGTAACCCCGCTTCGTAGTACAGGCCACTGATCTGATACAGTTCCTAAAATCCCTGCCGCTTTGAGTTTAAGTAAGAGCCTCTTGTGGGG